CTCTATACATTGAACACATTGAGCATTAAAGAAGAAAAATCAATCCCAGAACAATGTGATCCAGCATGTGAGCGAAGACAGCAGGAGAAGAAAACAAATTAAATATAGTCCAGAAAGAGAAGACGCAAAACTGGTTTTTAAATAAGAGGTATTGAAAAGCTATTTGTTAAAAGGCGCTAGGATTCAGGCCCTGTCACCAGGCCCTAGAGCACCTCGGCAACCATGACTGGGCTGCTGAAGAGGAAGTTTGACCAGCTGGAGGAAGACTTCTCCTCATTCTGCTCCTCCACCTCCTCTGACTGTGTCTCTCCTTCCCGCTCCCCAAGCTCTTCAGTCTCAGGTGAACAGAGCCCCTGGGGTCACATGCCCCTAGCTGAATGGGATTTGGTTCCCAAAGTTTTACCCTTTGGTCCATTTTGAAACCAGCTCCTCGGGATTGCCCAGGCCATGTTGCCTTCACTGGGATCACTATCTTCTACTTCCCACCATGCCAGGGCTTCCCCAGTGTGCCCAGCCGTGGTGGCTGTGCTCTGGGCATGGCCTCTAGCCACAGCGCCTGCGCCACTTCTCCTTGTGTGAGTTTGCTCAGGAACAAGTCCAGGCCTGGTGTGAGACATTCCTCCAGTGTTTGAAAGAAGAGAAGCTGGAGATGCTGTGATGGAAGCTTTTGGCCTCTGGAGAACCTGAGGGGGAGGCAGGCCTGCCACTTAAAGTGGATGCCATCATTGATGCCTCTGTGGAAGAGGACTTGGCAGTGGCTGTGGCAGGCGGCCGGTTGGAAGAAGTGAACTTCCTACAACCCCACCCAGTTCAGGGAGGAGTGCTCTGCTGTGGACTGAGGGTGTGCAAAGGATCCACCTCAAGTAGAAACAGGAAGTGCAGGCTCTGCACCAATCCGGTGAGAACTGCAATAGGGTCTGTGACCCTGAGACCTGCAGCTGCAGCTTTGGCGGGTATCAAGTGCCAGATGGACCACACAGGGTTCCTCTGTGGCTGCTGTAAGGAGGCTGTGAGAACCCCAACGGCCTTGAGGAATTTAATCAGGCGCATGTGCAAACCCATTTCATCCACACACTCACTAGACCTATGGGTGGCTAGATCCTCTGGACTGTGAAGACTGTAATTTATTTCCATAATTTATTTGGAGACTGAAGCAGCTTTAGCTGTGCCTTTTTGGCTGGTAGGTAGTGCTGGGGGCAGGGTCCCTTTTGTCCTGCATCCTGTCCTGCCTGGGCTTTGGTGTGTACCAGGTGTGGATACAAGCCCTGTGATCTCCTATTAATTGCCTGGTTCAGAGATGGCTGTGAAAGCAGGCGCTGGGCTGCCAGTTGTGACCAAAACCCCTTTATGCCTGTCCCACCTAGCCCCTCTGCTTCTTGCCCTCTGATCTACTTTCTCCCCTCCAAAAGGAAGTGGCCTCCATTCCCAGCCCATAATATAGGAGGGGGATACTAGATGCCCAGAAAGGGCAAGGGGCTTGCCTTGGTATGAACATCCCCCATGCAGGGCTTTGGAGCACTGCACTCCATCTCAGCCCACCATGTACCCTGAGGCCAGTTGCTAAGGGGTGGCTCCTTAAGGCTTTTATGCCCTTTGCTGATGTTGAATTATGAATTTTGAATCTTACATCAACTTTTATATTGTCCCATTGTCAGAACTATAATTTATTCATTTCTCTGTGTCTGTGCCAAGAAAGCTAGGCTCTGAGCCTGTCCCTTTACCTAGGCAGTCTTGCCATCCTGTGCTATGGGAACACATTGTACCTGAGCTGACAGGTACCAATAAAGAGGCTCTATTTAAAAAATAAAAAAGCTATTTGTCTCTAGGGGCTAGAGCAGGCCACCAAACCTTGCACTCTGACATTTGGATACTTAGTGATTGTGGAGGAAATCAGCAAAATACCTGCAATATATATGTGAGAGGAAAGGAGGAAAAACTGACTAAAATATGAAGAACAAAAAACTAAGAACCAAAATGAAAATATCTTGTCTTGTCCATTGTAGCTAAAAGACAATCACCAATTTTATATTGAAGACAAAAAGGTGTTTAAACTCAGAATGAAATACATGTTTTGTATTGCAACAATAATAAGTGTGTTTGCTTTAATTATATAATAAATCTACATAAGGGAGCCAATATACAAAGCCAGTATACAATTAACATTCAAGACCAATATTCAACAAAAGGACTTGTGGTACATAATCATTAAGTGAAGCTCTTGCATACACACTGCCTATTGCACTAGTTTCTCTAGCCCCAGGAAGTTTCAGAGGGTTCCACATTGAAGGAGTCCCTGCTTGGGTGGCCAGTAACCAGTCTACATACTTTCTTCCTGCCCAGTTATCTTCTCATGTCATTGCTGGATCTGTATTCAGAACAGATCTAAACCAAGACAGGGGAGATGCACCCATGATGGTGACATTTGCACTCTGACAGGCAAATTCTAGGTATCCATTTTTATTCAGAGACTGTGACAGCCCACCACCTGCCAGTACACTACAAAAGTTATTTTCATAAGTCCATTTACTGGTATTGTAGCCTCTGTGCTAGCCTCTAATTTATATGGATTACTAAAAATTTTTAAAATCACTCCTCCTATTGAGTGAAGTCAAAACATAATTTAAGTGACATTCTTTGAGTGACATTAAAAAGTATATCAATTAACCACCAAAGCATAACAAACTACCCTACAATATTTAGTGGCTTGAAACAACCATTTTATTTGCTTGTGATTCTATGGATTAGCAATGTGGACTAGGCTGAGCTAGACAGTTCCGCTATTTTTTCCTGTGGTGATCTTTTTATGTGACTATCATTTGGCCTCATGATATATAAACGAAAAACTGACAGCCATAAGAAAAGGCAAGTTCTGGAAGGTATCTATAACTTGACCTTGGTGGCTCAGCCTCAATGTGAGAAGTCTGAGAAATGTGATGGAAAGAAGAACCTTGATCCTGCCACACAGAGAGGGGAAAGAGAAACTGGCAAAGGAAACAATGAGACTACAAAAACCTCTGTGGAATATTCAAGAACATAACCCACAGGGAATTTATTCAGGCATTTCTTGGGACTCTTTGCCTCATAAGGGAGAAAACATAAACAGGATGTTATGTTTTAGATATGAGGTGTACCCCAAAAGCTAATGTGTGAGATAATGCAAGAAAGTTTAGAGGTTAAATGCTTGGGTTATGAGAGCCTTCACCTAATCAGTGCATTCATCTTCTGATGGGGATTAACTGGGTGCTAACAGTAAGAAGGTAGGGTGTAGCTGAAGGAGTTGGGTCCTTAGCCTTTGGACTTTATATTGTCCTTGGTGAGCAGAGCTCTTTCTGTGCCTCTTGGTGCCCTGTCCTGAGCTGCTTTCCTGCACACTTTTGCCATGATGTTCCGCCTTACCTTGGTCACAGAGCAATGGAACTGGCTGTAAATGGACTAAGACCTCTGAAACCATGAGCTCCATGTAAACTTTTCCTCCTCTAAAATTGTTCTTTTCAGGTCTTTTGGTCACAGCAGAAAAAAAAAAAAGCTGACCAAAACACAGGATGTGCATACTTCTTATATATATAAAACTTTTGTGGGAAAAACATTTCTATACTCTATAGAAAATCCATATCAGCTTCCTAAAATATCCAGTGCTTCATTATTAAGTATGAAAGCATGACAAAGAATCATGGTTTATCTAGGGAAGAGGGGGATTACAACATAAAAAAAAAAACTGAGGAACTGAGGTAAATAGAATTACTAATTCCAGAAAAAAATAATTACAATTCGGGAAACTACAATTATTTAAACACAACAATATAAAGTGGCCTCTAGTATACCTAAAAGAATTGAGATGCTAATTAACATGAAGGTAGAGGAAAGCAAATTCATTCTATCTTCTTGAGCTGGGACATCTTTGTCTTCATGCTGTCAGACACTCAGGACTCAGAGACTTAGACCAGTAGACTCACCCCTCAGCCCAATTCTCCAGTCTTTGGTCATGGACTGAGAGTTGAACCATGGTCCTCAGGCCTGTGGATTTGGACACTAGCAGGTCTCCTGGTTCTCCAGTTTGCATACAGTACATCACAGAACTTCTTAGCCTCTATAATCACATGAGCCAATTCCCATTATAAATCAATCACCCTCTTCTCTCATTCAATGAGTTATAGGACTGAACACAGCTGACAAAATATGCACAGTGAAAAAAATAAGACTTGAGCCCCTTTCCCCTGCTTCGAATTCAGAATATCTGCAACCAAGCACACTTGCTTCATCTCTATTTCTGTAAAAATTAGAGAGAAATGTGTTCCTCAGTGGCTCAAAAAGGTAAAAGTAGGTAGTGGTTGTTGCTAGAGGCCCATAATTTCTGCCTTAAGTACAACAATGGAAAGAGTGGAAACCCTCCTCACCTCCTGCCACAGCTATATCACGAGATCCATAGAAAGTAGTCCCCAAGGCACAGGCAATCAATTTAAGGCATGGCCTACTTCAAAGGGACCACAACCAATTACAGGTTCCTGGGAGAGAACAAAGGGTTAGTTTAACTCCAGGACCAGCCTCTGTTTCTTCATGTCACAATTTTTTATTCTCTCCATGAATCAAAAGATGGTGCAGGTCCATCACCCACCTTCAATAAAAGGGGAGACTTTCTAATTTTGCCCCTCCCTAGAACACTAGTGCTAGATTATTAGACTGTGTTCAATGATTTGTTTACATATCAATCTCCATCCATAGAAATTGTGCATGCATAAAAAACAGTATATTATTAGGTTTTTGTAACCTCAAGATGAGTTCAACACCTGGCAGCTACTGAATAAATGAATCCAGATAACTGGCAATAGTTTGCACAKGAGAGTATAAAAAATAGTATTGACCTGTCTAAAATCTTCTCTATGAGAAGCATCACATATTATTCATGTTACTCAAAAACATACACATGAGCCATGCAACACACCTGCATTAGGATGTTTAGACATTCCATTGGTCCTGTGCATGTTTGAGCACAGGTGGCAGCTATGCCCCCAGCCAACAGGTATTTCCACAACTGGCCAGGTCTTCTTTCTTCGTCAATGATATCCTGAAAAGTCCATCTTTCACCTATATCAGTTCCCTGTTAAAACAAAATAAATAGCAACTAGATGGTCTCAAATGAAAGTTTTATCTCCTCATAAGATCTAAGGAATGGTGTACATATCTTTCCTCAAATATTGTGCTCTACCAACCAGTATAATTTTAAATAACTTATTATATTGTCAATTATAAATTAATAATAACTATATTATCATGTTTAGGATAATCTTTACCAATTTTAAATATATTTCATTTCCAATTGAAAGTTATTTGTCTAAGATTGAATACAAAAAATAATCTTTCAAATTCTCATAAATATTTTTAGCTATGGCAAAACTCAATTCAAACAAACTACTAGTGAGGTAGTAGCTATTTAATTGACAATAATTTCAGAGTCTCTTTAGAGTTCAAGATCTAGTGAATTGCTATGTTATCTTCAGTCAGACTATAGTTTAACAAAATAAATATGAAATATATAATACATATTTAAAAGAGTTTTCTTTTAAATCTTGACCTACAGTAGAAGTGGTGAAGTCTGATCATTTCTACGTAGTTCCTAAAGCAGAAAATAAGTTCTGCTATACATGTATCATAACTTGGAATTTTTGAGGGGCCAGAAGATTGGTCACATAGATTTTGATTAAGAACCTGGGCCCAGGAATTAGATGGAATCAAATCCTAACCTCCCTAATCCTAACTGAACAACTTCTCTGGGCCTCAGTTTCCTCAAATGTGAAGTAGAAAAAATACTAATTCCTTCTTTGTATGATTGTTAAGATAAATGACAATCCAGGTACAGTGGCACACACCTGTAATCCCAGGCTGTTCTAGAACTTGTGCTTCCCCTGCCTCAGTCTCCCAATTACAGGTACACCACAGCCCCCAGCTACAACACAGAATGTTAAGAGAAACTTCAAGTGTTGAAGAAAGAAACAGATTTCATGAAGAAACAACATACATCACAGCTTTGAAATATCAGTTTCAGTTAAAGTCCTTTATTTTCTACTGTTAATCATAACAGCTAAGAAAGTACGGTGCTTAACATGACAATTTTTTAATAACAAAATTTTTTAATAACAAAAAATTGTTATTCTAAATGCTTTTTATTTTTTAACTTCTTTAATCCCCACAATGACCTAAGGCACAGGTCACATTGACATATAATTTTATAGACTGTGTTACATTTTTATGCCCATGACCCATGACATAAAATAAACAAATAGTAAAAAGAGACTACTTACAGTAAAATGATTTCAGTAATGAACAATTTCCTCAATATTTCTGACAGATTTCAATAGGAAATTCTTCTTCCATTCATCCCAGTCCACTGTCATTGACCCATCAAGATCCATGCTATACATTTTTTTAAAAAGAATATGCTCAAATAGAAATTGTGATTCATAAATTTCAAAAACATCAACAATGACATCAAGTCAGAACATCTGAATTATAGTAGAGCTGTGTCCATTGTTACTTTTGTGATATRGGAGGTCACCTAACAGCCCTAAACTCCAATTTATGTGGGGATAATTCCTACAATAAGGAACTATTCAAAGTATTAAATGAGATGATATATACATTGTCACCATAAATTATAAAGAACTGCAGAAATGTAAGTCTGTATTATTACATCCAAATCTGCCAGTGCTTCTTCTTCAACATTTCTCCTTCTTTCTGCTTAAAACCTCATCTTTTAACTTCTTTTCATTGCTAATCTCTCTAACTATGGAGTCATGCTGACAAATACCCTTTGTTGTTGCAGATTTTAAAAGACAAATTCCATTTTTATGGATCTAAAATATCTAATATCCAAAATGTCAAAAGAAATCTGAATAGCCATGGAATTATAATTCCCATTGAGATGATACTGTTCAAGCCAATTTCATGAATTTTAAAAATTGCCATTAGAGTGAGGCACAGTGGCAGAAGCCTATAATCCCAATGGATTGGAATACTGAGGCAGGAGGATCACTAGTTCAAAGCCAGCCTCAGAGAGACCCTGTCTCTAAATAAAACATAAAAAATGGCTGGAAATATAGTTCAATGGTTAAACACCCCTGGGTTCAATCCTCAGTACCTCAGTCCAAAAATATTCCCATCAAAGAATTTCTCAAATAACTAAATGAAATTAAGAATTTGAAGAAAGACAGCGAGATACATTGCTTTACTAATTTTGGTTTTAAATTTTTGTCTCAGCCAATTTAAATCCAGGGATTATTTTCAGGGATTATTTTCAGGGATTATTGCTAATCCTAAAGCATCTCCTCAAGCCACCAGTTCAATTCCTAACACTCATTCTCAGGCCCCAAGTCATCCCAATTCTTCCCAAAACATGAGTGCTCAAGCAGTTTCATCATAAATAAATAAAAACAAAAAGACTCTTGTCCCCACCTTCCCCACTATCACTCTGTTTCTGTCTCTGTCCTTGCAGCAACACTTCATCAACAGTTATCTACCTTGTCTCCAATCTCTCCTTGCCATTTTTGAACCCACTAAGCTCTCACCACCATTATTCCACCAATGGCTTCCACAGGGCTAAATCCAGTGGTCTATCCCCTGTCCTTGTCTTTGCTTATCAGAGTCATTTGACAGAGAGAACTACTGGTTTCCCCTTTTATCTCTAGTTACTCCTTCTGGGTCACTTTGACTGATTCTGCCCATCTCCCGTCTCTTAACATTGGAAAATATTAGGACTCAGTATACTTTATTCTCTCCCTGATCATCTCTCCAGCCTCATGGCTTTAAAGACTTTCTGAAAGTAACAACTCACAAATCTCTAGCTGGGGTGTTCCTTTGAACTCAAGACTAGTAGTTCAAGTTGCCTACTTGGCATTTTTACTTAGATGTCAGATTAGCATCTGAAACTTAACAAAAACAAAACTAGATTCTGATATGCACTCTGTCCTAACCCAGCTTCTCTCACAATCTTGTCCATCCCACTACATGGCAGCCCCAGTCTTCTAAGTGCTCATATCAAAACTCCTAACTACCCTCTTTTGAATCACACACATGACCCAGAAGTAAATCCTGTCGCCATTTCAAAATATATCAATAATCCAAACAGTTCTTACTTCTTCCATCCTAATACAAGCCACCCTCAAATTTTGTCTATTATGTAAAACTGTCCTAATTGCTCTTTTTTATTTCATCCTTACCCTAGCTACTCTCAATACACCAGCCAGAATGAGGGTGTTACAACTTATGTTAGATCATGTCACACACCTGTTTAAAACCATCCAATAATAAAAGTCCAAGTCCTCACAATTTCCTGCAAGACCTCATGTGATCTGGCCTGTTACCTCTTCAATTACACACCTCCTATCATCCTCTTTCTCATTCACTCTATTCCAAACCCCCTTCAACCCCTATCTCTTCCTATTTTCTTTGTCTGGAAAGGTCTCCCCCAGGATTCATCAAGTCTTCCATGTCACCTCCTTCAGATCTACTCAAATGTCACCTTCAAGGTCTTCTCTATTTACCATGTGTAAACTGTAGTTTCTACCTCAACACACACACACACACACACACACATCTTGAGCTGTTGGTTCCAACCCCTCCCAGTCTGCTATAAGCCACCTCCTCTTTCTCTACATCATGTGCAACATGTCCTTCTCTGACAGATATTCTTCCTCAAAGTTCACCTATCCTTAAAAAAATAAATAACATTTAGACTTGCTCATTTGTTCTTTCTTTGTCTCATATTTCTAAAACAATAAACCCAATAACAGACCTCACCTCCTCACCTCCCTTTCATTCAATAGCCCTCTGCAGTCTGATGTAGCCCTTTGTCACACTGCTGAAACTGCTTTCACTGAGAAATCTCCCAATGGACATTTTTCAGTATTGATCCTTTCTGTTAAAAAAAAAAATCTAGGATTTAGCAGGGCTGCTGTCACAGTTGTTGCCGCAGCCCCCACCTCTGCCGCTGCCAAGGCTCAGTACAAGGGCACCCCAAGTGAGGCAGGATGCGCCAAAAATCTGATGAAGAAATGGGAAGAGCAGTGGGGGCAGATGGAGCAGAGGAAGCAGCGGGTCACAGAGGAGAACATAATGAAATCCAATATTGACAAGAAGTTCTCTGCACACTATGATGCTGTGAAGGCAGAGCTCAAGTCCAGCACTGTCGGCCTTGTGACCCTGAGTGAATGAAAGCCTAACAGGAAGCACTGGTGAAGGAGCAGGRAAAGCAGCTGGCCAAGAGGGAGCAGTCAAAGGAGCTGCAGCTAAAGCTGAAGAAGCTTCGAGAAAAGAGCGCCAAAAGGAGGCCAAGCAGAAGATCTCTAGCCTGTCCTTCACCTTGGAGGAAGAAGAGGAGGGAGACGAAGAAGAGGAGGAGGTGGCCATGCATAAGGAGGAGCTGGAAAGGGAAGAGATCACCACAAAGAGAAGGAAATTGGGGAAGAACCCAGATGTGGACACCAGCTTCTTGCCTGACCAAGACAGGGAGGAGGAGGAAAATCGTCTTTGGGAAGAGCTGCAGCAGGAGTGGGAAGCAAAGCAGGAGAAGATTAAGAGTGAAGAGATTGAAATCACCTTCAGTTACTGGGCTGGCTCTGGACACCAGCAGACAGTCAAAATGAAAAAGGGCAATACAATGCAGCAGTTCCTCCAGAAGGCACTTGAGATCCTGTGTGAAGACTTCAGTAAGCTCAGGTCAGCAGGGTTGGGGCAGCTCATGTACACCAAGGAGGACTTAATCATTCCCCATCATCACAGTTTCTGTGACTTCATCGTTACCAAGGCACATGGGAAGAATTGGCCACTCTGTAACTTTGATGTTCATGATGATGGGTGGCTACTCAGTGATGCCACTGTGGAGAAGGATGAGTCTCATGCAGGAAAGGTGGTGCTGAGGAGCTGGTATGAGAAGAACAAGCACATCTTCCCTGCCATCTGCTGGGAGCCCTATGACCCTGAAAAKAAGTGGGACAAGTATAAGATCCAGTGAACATCTAGAAAGTGGTTTGGCCTCGGCTGTCCCTGGTGCACCCCCGTGTCTCCAGAACTCAAGGGTCTGACTCCCCTGCGACTGTGCTGTTGTGTGCTAGGAGGATGGTAGCCACTCATCTCCTGGCACTGTCATTGCTTTTTTCTTTTACAATAAATAAGTGCTCATGTTAAAAAAAAAAAAAAAAAGAACTAAATAAATGAAGATGTAGTGTTTATGAGAGAAAATTTAATATTATAAATTTGCCAATTCACCAGCACAGTGGCTTACAAAGATGAATATCTTATTCATATATGTGTCCTTTATAATTTAGCAGTGGGATCTGCATTTGGGATGTCACTGTCCTTATTCTGGGACCAATGTATCCACTATGTGGAACACAGTTACTACCCACAGTAAAAGGAACAAGAAAATGTAGAAGCAAGCTCAGTTCTTAAAGCTTCTGTCTATAGTGGCATGTACAATTTCTGTGCACATTGTATTAGCTAAAGCAAGTGACAGGCCCTCCTACCTTAAAGTTATCCTGCAGGAAAGGAGAATAGTAGTGAACAATAGACAATATGACATGCTTTCCAGGAACCATTCGAGAGGTTTGAGCTGAAAGCTAAATGTGGTGGCACATACTTTTAATCTCAGTTACTCAAAAGGATAAGGCAGAAGGATCTCAAGTTCAAGACCACCTTGGCAACTTAGCAAGACCCAGTCTATAAAATAAAACCTAAAAAAAATTAAAATTAGAGGGCACAGCTCATTGGTAGTTTGCTTTCCTAGCATGTGTCAGTCCCTGGTTTCAATCGCCAGATCCTCAAAAAGAGAGAGACATTTAAGCAGCATGATTTAATTCACAGTATAAAATATCCCTCTAACTGCTGAATGAAGAATAGAAAAAAAATTCAAGGGCCAGAGAAGTGAGATCAATTAGGAGAGTCTAAGAGTGGTCACGTTGAACTATGATAGTGGCAGATAGAAGTGGAAAAGAGAGAGAGAGAAGCAGACAGATCATGGCATATTTTAAAAGTAGAATTAAAAATTTTTGTGAGGGATTGGATGAAGGGAGAAAATGGTACCAAAAATAATTGTCAGGTTTCTGGCATGAGACACCATATAGATGGAATTGCCAATCTCTGAGATTGGGAATAATAAGATCAAGGGTCCAATTTTAGACATGCTAAGTTTGAGGCACCTATGAGTCATATAAATTACATGCACACCTCAAGAAATAAAGGGCTGGGGGGCTGGGGTCGTGGCTTACTAGCAGAGTGCTTCCCTAGCATGTGTGAGGCACTGGGTTCGATTGTTAGCACCACATATAAATAAAAGAAGTAATGATCCATCAACAACTAAAAAAATACTTAAAAAAAAGAAATAGGTTTGAGATGAAAACATAAATGCGTAAGTCATTTTGGTATATAAATAGTTTTTAAAGCTGTAAAAGTGAATAGGATCCTAGACCAAGTTATGACAACTCCAAAATGTAGATATTAGATGAGAGCAACAGCACTAGCACAGTAAAGCATTTAAGAATTCAAACTCAAATTCAATCTGCCTGGACTTGAATACTGGGTTATATAAATCCTCTGAGTCTTAGTTTCCTCATCCACACCATTTCTGATGGACCAGTCTGTTGTGAGGATTGCATTGAAAAAAATGTACAAACATACAGCCTACCACATAGAAAAGTACTTTCTAAGTCATGGCAATTGGTACTTCTATTAAAGGAGAAAGAGCCTTGAAAGAAGTGGGAGAAAATAAGGAAGTCTATCATTAATGAAAGGATTTGAACAATGGATTTTAGGATGAGAGAGGTGCCAAAAATGCCAAATGCAACTGAAAAATTGAATAAAATGAAAATCTAGGACTGAATTGTATCTTCTGAATTTGGCAAAAAAAAATGCATCAGCTTTTTTTAAGCATCTTTGATGAATTGATGGGGTAGTTAATGAGCATTAAGGACTAGAAATAAAAATACATTTCAGGTGAAGACCTAAATTTTAAAAGGTTAACCTTTAAATTCTAGAGGAATTTTAATCTCCTAGATTTAGATTAATYCTTTAAAATCTCAGTATAGAAAAGGAGTTCCAAATTCACACATAAAAAAACAAATCATAAAATATAAATTTGGTAAAGTTTAAAACATCTGTGCATCAAAATATATCATAAAAAGTTGTGAGGAAAACCCCAGATAGAATAAAAATACAAACCTTACAACCAACAAAAGATGATGCTCAGAACATACAAGAAATTCTATAAATCAATAAGAAGAACACAAATAACCTAATAGTCAAAGAAAAAGGACCTCACAGGACCTACAATTTATTTTTTATTTTATTTATTTATTTATTTATTTTGAGAGAGAGAGAGAGAATTTTTTAATATTCATTTTTTAGTTTTCGGTGGACACAACATCTTTATTTTATTTTATGTGGTGCTGAGGATCCAACCCAGCGCCCCGCGCATGCCAGGCGAGCCTGTTACCACTTAAGCCACATCCCCAGCCCCCTTACAATTTATTAATGTTTCCATATTGTCACAGTCCTCACTTAATCATGTCCTCATTTCTCTCTTTAGTCCCACTTAGAGATCCATCATCTCTAAGTGGGACTAGAGATCCATCATCTTAATTGGTATCTTACACATCCCTCTATTCCCTGCTCTATAATCCATTTCTCTTATTCATTTTCAAAACTGTGTCCTTGAGAAAATCCAATTCTCTGTATTCACACCTGTAGCTGACTTCAGCTGTAGATATTCCTCCTTCAATGCAAAAAAAGAAAAAAAAAGAAAAAGAAAAAAAAGAAAGAAAAAAGAAAAGGTGCAAACTCTATTGAGAATTTATAGATATGACCTTGGTGAGAAAGAGCCCATTTAGTAGCTTCCATTTCTTAAATTAAAACATAAAGAGCTACGGGGAAAATGAGGATGTAAGAGTGTGAAGCAGAAAGTATCAGAAGGACAGGATGTGAAGATCAGACATTTGAGGAAATAAGAGATTCAAGATCATTACTGTGAAGAATGAGAAGGCTGTATTACAAAAGAAACAAGGTATTTGGGCCCTGTGAGTACCAATTTTGGGCTATGAATTTATAGAATATCAATTTCTCAAATTTACTGGGCATCATGTAGCTCAGAATTGAGCACATCAGCCCTGACACATGCCTATAATCCCAGCAGCTTGGGAGGCTGAAGCAGAAGGATGACAAGTTTAAAGCTAGCCTCAGCATAGTGAGGTCCTAAAGCAACTTATGGAGACTCTGTCTCTAAATAAAAAATAAAAAAGCATTGAGCACACCAATCTTATACAGTTGTAACAGACCATTACATCACACTTTCTGTCAGAATACCCATATGCCAACCTCCACTCTTATGTGGCATACAGATGTCCTAATGCACTCTCACAGAGGCTCTGTGCCTCCTCGTGCCACTTACTACACATGGCTGATACATGATAGACCTATAAGACAGAAGGAGTCAGGATCCTGTGGACAATGGAAACTTCAAGTCACACCTGACATACATAGATTTGTGTGTAACAGAAATAAACTCAGACCTTAAGTCTGAGTTTATTTCATGTTTTCTGCCTCCCACAGTTGATCCTAACTAACCAGCAAAAAATCTCCAATTGACTAATCAGAATAACATAGCCACAAAAGTACCCATGTTAAACCACAGTCAAAATGTCTACAAATAAAGGGTTTGAAATGGTAAGTTATGTCAACGTTAAAATAACTTTAATTCTTTATGGAATTAATATATTAGAATTTTTTTTACTAATTTTATAAATATATGGTAATGATATTTATAATAGGGAATTTCATAAAAATGATAAATTAAGACATGAATAATTGCACAGATTGACTCATCATTTTCTTTACCCAACATTTATTGAGTACTATAACATGCTAAGCAGTATGTTGGCTGCCAGGGATATGAAGATAAAACAAAGAGTCCCTAACCATTGAGGAGTTCACAGAGATATAAACACATGATTTTATGTATTATAATTTCCAGTATTATTTATTTTTGAACATAAGTAGTTGATTAAGCAAATGGACAAAAAWTTTTTTTTTCTTTTTTTTAACCTGTAGAAAAGAAATCAATTTTGGTAGAGAAAAGGGCTAACTGTAATTTGTCTCTCTGAGCAGTAGAGGGCGACACAACATCAAAATGACAGCTTGAGTAAGCCCCTGTGGACCCTGTTGTAGGCCTTTTTCTATAAAAGTAATTTATTCAACCAAGTGTTTTTTTCCCAGACTCAATGACATATTTAGCTATGAATATACAAATTGCACAAATTCATTCTGAATAAAATACATCCATGGTTTGACAAAAATAACAATTTTGTGGGGCTGGGGTTGTAGCTCAGCGGTAGAGCACTTGCCTAGCATGTCTAAGGCATCTGGTTCAACTCTCATCACCACATATAATAAATAAAATAAAAGTTCATTGACAACTAAAAATATTTTTTAAAAATAATAATTTTAATTTATTCCTGTGGCATTTCTCATTTTTTATATTTTTTTCTCCATGTTATAAAATCATGAAAATTCATCATTCAAGAAAATACATTTAATCTGTTTTTTTCTCATAAGTACTGCAGAACACTTCTTTCTTATTGATATCTTCCCAAGATTAATTAATAAAACATAATGTGGGCACCAGCTGTGGGTTTTGACAGAATAAAAAAACATTCTTCAAGTTACTTGTGAGTAGCATCTCTTTGCAGCATAAAATTTGATAACCTTCATTTATGTCATCTCCTTTGACTATAATTCATATAAAAATATTCATGTGATCAAAGCTTTTAAATTGCACTAAAGCATTTTATATTGATCCACAGTGAGTTTTCTATGAAAAAGAAGGGGAAAAATGGCTTTTATTCATCATAAAGTTTTCTTTAAGATTACTGTGGAAATGCTCCTCTAGGTACCAGTGAGTTAGTTAACTCTCATTTGGAAAGTTATCAGCTGGCAGTTATTTGTGGAATTCCACTAAATACTCAA